CCTTTTTGTGAGCCACAAATGGGTACCTCACATCCAAACCGGTCAACCAATCGCTGCCTAAGGTTCTGAGTTGCCCAGTGGCGTCCTTTATCCCCTTTTTTTTTGGGAAGGGTTCCCCTTTAAACTCAGCCCTTTTTTTCCCATGGCCACTGGGCATCTGAAGGTTCGTCTGGCCGAATGAGACTCACCGTGAGGTGCTGAAGGCTCTTGGGGCTCTGCCCTGGCAAAGGGCGCTGCTGCTGGAAGGAGCTCGAACAAGGGAGGTTCACACAGCTGGGTTCAAACCATATCGGTGGCTCGTCTTTTCTGAGGGTATACATACGTTGTTTTTTGCGTGGTTTTATAGGGACACAAAAAGGACACCCCCCCAATAGGGGGGGGGGGGAAAAGGGGGGGGTCCCCTAAAAAAGATAGCACTGGAATTGATTTACGCAGCCCAACCACTCGCCCAACCCTGACTGGGCGAGGTCGGGGTTCCTTGATTTCGTGTTGTGCCCTATGGGCTTGTGGTAATCTTGTATTTACTTTTAGAGGTACCCTTTTTTTGGCCGTCGTAAAGGGAGAAACGGAAGTCAGCCATTTGGTGGGTTCCTTATCCTAGTTTGCGTCATACCCACATAGGACCCTCAAAGTTGGCGGGCTTCCCTTGTGTGAGCGAGTTGGCAACTTCCTGTGCGACCCCATGCAAGCTGGCGATTCGAGGGGTTGCAAATTGAGTAGTATTTCTATGGATCATGGGTGTTGGAGGTATGGAATTCGCACTCTGTGAGTTCCTGGGAACATCATTCTAGTGGTAATCAAAACGGTTGGACTGTTGTTTGCCAATCCGCTCAAAAAGCGAGATTCTTGCTGTATGGAGTTTATACCACCTATGTACTATACTGTATTGCAAGCTTGCTGTTGTATATCAGCCTTCTTCCCCCAAGAGCCATACCTGAAATGCCAACTTGAAAGGAGGAATCACAAAGTAAGAAGGAGGTGAACTGAGGCTTTCCAAGATAGACTCTACAGCCCTTTTGGTTGTAAAACACAGCCGGCTGATCAACAATCTGTGTAAACCCACCCTGGGAAACCCCCAAGAAACGGGCTGGCCCTGGCCCAGTCGATGAAGAGGGGAGATGTTTGAAGGGTATAGAATACGCTTTGTCGTGGCCCTAAATGCCCACAAATAAAGACACACCTAGTTTCCTAGCAACCTAGAACCCAACATAGTTCTCCAACCAACTCTTCCCATCCATGTTTTCTGTTTGTGTTTTTTGTTGGGGTGACAATCACGGCGGCACCCAAAAAATGTTCCTTGCGCCTGGGGCCCGACATCTGCCGGTCTGGAGCCTGAATGGCTTCATTGGATGGCAGGATGCATTTGAAAGGAAGCCAAAAGGATGTTGAAGCAAAAGCGGGTTGAATGCTTGAACCAAGATCATTCCATTCGTGTTTCAAAATATTGTTTCCCCCAGTCTCAAAAGGAATCAATAGGAAGTATGTTTGTTCTTCACGCAAATCGAGGTATTGGTTCAGATCTTCCATCCATAGGAGGCTTCCGATGCGTTTTTTCCCCAACGATACACCGAGTTTCCTAGCACCCCCCCCCCCCCCCGGCAAAAGGAAACAAATAAGATATCAATAGAATACATACATAATAACCGACACAAAACGAAGCTCACAATGCTTTCTGTCCTTGCCCAGAAGAACCACGTCGCATCAACCAAGCTTTATTCCCACAGGGAACCAGCGACGCCGTTTGAACCATGAACCGGGGCTTTCCGTACTCCATGGGTTCAGAGCCATACCCTCTCTCCAGTGCGGACCTTTCCTTCTGGTTGGAACCTTGTCTGCTCCTTTCCAGAGCTGCATTTTGCTTGGATGTTAGGACCTTAACTTTTTGCCAACTAATGGGTGTTCCATTAAACCACGTTAAGCTTTTGGCAGGGGAGCAGAAAGCAACCGGGCTAAATCGACCCTTTTCCTGAACCGGTGGATTTCCATTGGACATTTTTAGGGCGGCCTGAGTTTTAAGGGCATGGTCGCGGAAACGCTGCTGGGGAGGGGGGACGTAACTCCTTTTTGGGCCTTATTAATGGCTTTTGTCTAATGGTTACAACTGATTAGTAGCCCCCCCCCCCCATTCTAACCTCTCTGCTGGAGGACCGACTTTTCCGGTTGGATGGCATGCGGTAGGAGCCCTCGCGGCCTCCGACTGCGGCCTTGCGGTGCAGAGCTGCGCCCGGCAAAGGCAGAGCCTGCGGGCGCTGCGGCTACTGCGACTCGGAGGCTCAGTGCCCGGCTTTCTCGCGGGCGCGTCTGTTTCTGGGTTGGTTGTTTGGTTGGTTGACTAGTTTGGTGGTTGGTTGGCGAGCTTGAAGATCTTGTCATCTTTCATGTTGGCAGGCTTGCAGTTGTTTTTTGCTTTTGCATGTATAGTGGGGGGCTGCAACATATATTTTCTGTTGTTTGCTACCACCAGGGGTTGTAAAGGTTGTTTGGTGCCTGGCGCAGATCATGGCAGCATCCCTTGATGAGGCGAAATGCTTTTTTGGGGAAGCACATGTGTGGGGAAAGCTTGAGGGGTCAATAGTGACTTAGCATTGGTGGGTTTAAGGACAGACTAAGCAAATACTAAGCAAAAAGGAAAGCCCCTTTTCTGGCAGGTTGTTTTGGCTTCGGGGCTGCAGGGGGGTTTTGGGGAGACACGCAGATATATTGAGTAGGTGTTTTTTTGACAAACCTTGTTGCCCCTTTATGTTTACTAATCACGCGCTGTCATTAGCCACATATCCTTGATAAAAGTGGCCTGCCCACCATGCCGGCCCGAGGAACCAACATAATATACTTGTCTGTCTCCAGCTTGTTCAGTCCAACGCGGAAACCAGTTGACAACACTCCCCCACTGCAACGAGCCCGCTTGGCCGAACTCAACGGATGAAAGCGGCGCAGCATTGGAACCAGCTTGTTTGCTTTCCGCTGGTCTGTGCAGCCGCGCTTTTTCGCGGAAGGGTGGCTCAGCCTTCATGACTTGCTCCAGAGCTATTGACTTCTTGAGAACTGGAAATATAAAAGGAACGCCTTCAGGTTGGCTTAAAGCAACTGTTGCTTTTGGGCATGCCTTTTGATTGGTGTACCTGGTTGCTCATTCCGCGCGCAGCTGCGTGGCTTCAGACAGCGCGACTCCTTCCAGTCCGGTGTCCTGGCGGTATCCCGCACCCCGTTGCGGCAGAGCTCCCGTCCCACAAACGCAGCGCCGTTGCGCTGCTGACGTGCTGGCGTGTTCTCGCGAGGTGTTCCGTTGACCATCGGGCCAGCCGCTGCACCTTTTGAAAGATCCAGAAGCCAGTCTTCGCGCGCTTCTTCCCCATTCGCTGCCGAGAAGGATTCTTCAACAAGCGAGGGGCTGCGCGTCAACGTTTGCCACGCGCCGCGCCAGGTGAAAGTAGATAGTGCAACTCGCTTTGCGCGGGAGGAGGTGATCGCTGAGCCCTTTTCAGCTTCGCATGGGGGCAAACACTCCATGCATCTGGGCAAACATGATGTAAATTTTCACTTCCTCACGCTGTCGTTTGCCATATTTACCTACATTGACCGTCCAAATCGATCCAATATTGAAACTATGAGACTCATCGCGAAACATAGTGCCCAAATAAATTGCGCGATGTCTCAACCCAATTTTTTGGCACCTTTGCCAATATTAGTCCTGTGTTTTATTGTTTGTTTGTGACTTTTTTGTGTTTGGGGGGGGGGTTCGTTTGTGACTTTTTTGTTTGTGGGGAAGAGTACTCCCCATGGGTTAAGGGGGGCTAGAAGACCTCATGAATACGAGCATGCCCTTGCTTGAGCTGGCCAAACTGTTATGGTAGACCAAAAAATGGAACAGAGTCAAACTTTGGAGTACCTCAGGTCTTGCTAAAAAATCATCAACAGAATCAGTTTTGCTTGCGCATCCAGTGGCTCCTGTTCAACATGGAAATCGAAGTTTGTGGACATCCAACTGTCAACCGGCGACCCTATGATTTGTTCCTTCGGGCTGCAGCATGTTGGCCTGGTTGGAAGCCGGGCGCGGCTTCTTGGGTTGGCTTCTGCTTGACATGGGGTTCCAGTGAGCCCTCTTCAACATGTTGCCTTCGGCAAGCTGAAGCACCAGTGAAGCCTTTTGGGACTTCGCCCCACAACATCCCAGGCAAGCGTGCCGCCAGAGGCACGGCTCGGGGTCTATTTGGCGTTCAGGTCTTTCTGCTGATGCAGACATCTCCTGGGGCCAAAGCAAAGCGAGTTTCCCTGAGGTGACGCTTGTCTTTCTTGTGGGGGAGCAGAGAGAACCTAAGCAAAACACGGCCAGTTCCATAGAAACCTTGTTTCACCACGTAAGATTTTTCTTGATAATGGGTAGACATCTCTCGAGCTGCTCGTTTCACTTTGCCATAGATGTTACAGGGCCCTTTAGAGGATACCAACTGGGGCCACGTAGAGAATCACAAAAAACGTCCGGCTGTTTTTGAGGACTGGCTTTGGATGTATTTAAGCGGAGCCTTCGGGTAGCAGGTACGACAACCTCTTTTTTGTCAGAGCCTCATACTTTCCAACAAGGGTTTAGTGGGGATTGGACGGAACATTCCCCCTATAACACGGATGTTTCAAGCCGGGGTCAACAGCAGGTTGCTTCTTGTTTTTCACGTTGACCTTTCCCGTTTGGAAGTGCAACGCGACCGCCAGCCACGACGCGATGCTGGCGGCCGCGGCCGCCTTCTCCGCCGGCCCTTTGCGCCCGGAGCTCCTGGCGGAGTTCCGCCGGCCCGCCGTGGCGCGCCTGGCGCGGCTGCGGACGACGCGGCCGAGAAAAGCGGGGATGGGAGCGAAGGGATGGGAGCCTCACCCAAGCTGCGGGCGAAGGGATGGGAGCCTCACCCAAGCTGCGGGCGAAGGGATGGGACATGATGAGACGGGTCAAACGAGGACATGGATGATCATTTTTGAGCCAACATGGGACGATCAAAATGGAGGTTTCGAGTTGCCAGCCAGCTAAGCATCACCCGGAAATTCTGTGAAACAGCTGGTGGGTGTCAAGAACTGGGTCAACGTTTGGTATCTTAATTTGCAACGGGCTGAAATGATAAACCGAGGAAGTATGTAAATCCTGCTGTGGATGGACGAAATCTTGCACCACTTTGAAACCACGGAGAAGCCATTGTATTTTGGTATTTACAGGGGAATCATCATTCCAGGGTTCTTAGGTGGTGCGAAATGGAATGGATTTCGTCCATCCACAGTAGTGTGTTGAAGGTTGACTATGGCGCAGGTGTGTATGTTGTCGAGGCTCGCTCGCCGTTTCACCTTGAGCAAAGAAACCAACATCCCACCAAGACGAAGGACTTGCCAGCTAGGTTTTGTGTGGCAGATGCGAAAGCCCCAACTTGGGCTACTCCCCAATTTCATGTGGAACTCAAGCCCATGCTTTTAGAGGACCCGTCTGAATCAAAGGTTGTACCACGAGACCCCTGGAACACACGGGCAAATCCTTGACTTCAAAATAGGGTTCGTGAAACAATTGGGCGACAGGCTACTGGCAGACCACGTTGCAACTGACCCCTCCCATTGCCGGTCAGCGGTGCAGTCGCTCCCAAGTTGCGCAGGCGCGGAACCCACGTAATCCCGAAGGAACGAACCCATCGAGGCCTCCAGCAAATTGTTCTGCCAATATTTCGTGAACTGAGGGGCACTGAAAACTCCAGGGCTCAGATTTGCTGTAATGGGGTTTGTCTCTTGAGGCCCTTGCCTGAAGGACAACCAAGACCAAAAAGCATCAACATCCTAACGGGTCACCCAGTGTTGGACAAAGAATGTTTTGAGGCTACCCATAGGCTGCCATTTTCAAGTTGGCTTAAAGGGACACCAGGGAAACCGTTGCCGCCATTTTGGGGGGTTCCATTGAAAGACGACCCTTTTCGGGATGGGGACCTTCCGAGGTCATCCGATAAGCGTGATTACCTCAGAGGAGGACGGGTTACCAGGGAGCTCGTTTGAGGCGCCAAAACGCACGTCCCCTGCAAATGGATGTGTCCTCTTCTTCGCTGATTAAAAATGGTGGACCGCCCAAAGATGGGTTCCATATTCAGTTAGATGAGGATCGACGCTGGCCACCCCTGAGGTGAAATATGTAGGCTACTTAAATAAAGATTCGCAAGAATTCGTGATTGGTATCTTGTTCGCGCTGTGCCTGGCTTTGAACATGTTTCAAATAGTGGGGGGGCTGCAAAGAACAAACAGATGCGTTTTTGCGGACATAACAGTTATCAGATTACCGAGAGTTGTTATTTCTGCAAAGTTTGAGGGGGTCTGGGAGGGAGGGATAATTTGGGCTCCCTCCCCCCTTCCCAGGCCCAATGAAAATTACCCAATATTAAACATCAGCAGCATCCCCCAATACCCAAGAAAGAAGTGCTGGGTTTTCTCGCAAACGCACATGATGTGACACATACACGCACATGATTGACACATGATGTGACACATGACGCGAAGAAAGGTCAATGTTCACCATGAGTCGCTGTAGTAACGTGACGACATGGGGATACCCGACGATTTAGGGAGTGAGTTTTTGCTTACTTGCCAAAGTTCAGTGTCAGCTGCGGCCCAGGAATATTGACCGTGCTTTGCATCCCCCCGAAGCAATGGCCATTCCACAAAACAAAAACGGCACAGAAAAACTCCGATGTCCGAGCGCAGCTCCCTCCAAACGACTCGCATTTGCCCGAACCCTGGAATTGGGGGTGCATGTTGTGGTTGCCAGGTTGTTTTACAGACTGGGGGGGCTGTTTTGCCCGCGCATTGGACAATCATTCGAAACACATACTGTGTCCCAGAAATCAAGCAACACATAATTTCGCCCGAAGGTTATTTCCAGGAAGTCATATTTCGCCCGAAGGTTATTTCTTGGAAGTGTTTTTTTTGCCGGAACCAAAACCACGGTTCCAGGAGGGTTCCTATCCTTTGGTGTTTCGGTGACCCGGTGACCATCGGCCAATGTCCACGAGGAGCCTTGGGGCATCTAATGGAGCGGCACCCGCGGGCGGCGAAGACCATGACACGGGAGCAGCTCGAAGCCTCAGTTTCAGCACTGCGTAAG